CAGGGCTACTGTCCCGATAGGCAGTGCTGTATGCAGGAATCATTGGGGATGACATCTTGGCATCTCTCACTGCTTTCCCCCTCTGGCAGATATTTATGGCTGTGCAGCCATATGACTATGGGCTAGTCATCTCCTTCAGTATGGGGCAGTACTCCAAGGGCTGTCTTGCTTTCATGACACAGCCCCACATCCTTGCTAGTCCTCACCTCCTTTGACCCACCCACTGCAAGTGGAGAATCCAGCTCCCAGCATCCTAGGCCTGGCACTGCTCACCCCCATGGGGGCAAGACATGAGATGAAACTTTCTTGACCCACTTACTCAGATGTAACTCATCCCTCTTGGCAGCCCCCTTTCACCTGCCAACCCTGCTCTCTCTCTGGCTGTGAGAAAGCAGCAAGGTGCTTTCTGTGCATTTTTTTCTTTTCCTTGAGATGTCTCTTTTGCAAATGTGCATTCTTTTAAGTGTTTCCTTTGTTGAAACACATCCCTAAGGCATTTCAGAAAGAAGCTTTAAGTGCATCTTTTTAACACTGCATTCTGGAAAATAAAACAGCTCTCACAAGTTATTTGTACTTCTAAATGAAGTCACTCAGAGTGCTAGGTAAGCAGACAACTTTTGTCTTTTCCTTGTAGAGGAATCTGACACAAGTCGTCTTCTTTGGACTGTAGAGAACTGTACATTTTGAGTATAAACAAGCACTATACCAATTTCTATTGCCAAATTCACTGGCAATAGAATGCCAATTCTATCCAGCTGCTAAAGACAGAATTAAAGCTATAGCCACAGAATTGAAGATCAACCTGTTTCTTACGTTTTAACAACTGCAGGTCCACAAAGTAAACAGATAATTGCTTTCAAGAAACAGAATTTGGGGAAACAGAAAAAAAGCAATGCAGTAATTTCTCCATGTGTTACTACCAAGCGGATGGACAGATGTTTGTACAATTCACCTACCAAGGGGAGGAGAGACTCTGTAAGCTGAACAACAGCCCCAATTAACATAACATCCTCAGGATGACCAGCATTGCACAGAGGGGTGTGCAGCTGTTTATCTGCCAGTGCACACAAACAAAGTCCCCAAAGCAGAGCAGCTAAGATGTAAGGCCTCTTTTGGTAGGCCATGGATGCCCCTACGGTTGACCACACTGCTTCCCTCTTGACAAGCCATCGTTTGCTCTTCCATGCCTCCCTCTTCCATACCACTTCATCCCAGCAATGCTTTTGCAGCTTGTATGGCATGAGGAAATTAGTCTGTCTGAGGTGAGGCTCAACAACAGGCACAGTAGCTCCTTTCATCACTTCCCATGTTTTTCCTAAGGGCAGGGGAAACATTCATGGAAACCCTCAGAGCTCCTGAGAAGATGCCATGCAATGAGCACCCATGGGAAGAGAAGAGGCATGCAGAGTTGCCAAGGAAGACTAAGTGGGAGTGAAGCATCCAAGACAGTCCCCAAGTTAGCAATGGACGATACACATCCCAGTCAATACTCATCTCAGTTGAACAATACACATCCCAGCTCATCAGCGAGTGACCTGGACATTCCTCAGGCTACTCAGAAGCTTCCAAGAACAGCTTTTCTCATTCCTTCTCGAACAGTTCACTCTTAGATTAGGTCAAATTCAATGGTAATATCACGATACCTTCCTTCACCAGCCTGCTGGAAAAGAGGGCATAGACAAGTCCCTTATGGAGTGGACTGGACTAAGAGCTCTTAGCATGGGTGAGGGTTTAACTTAACATTTTGTGAAGTCAAGGCCCCGAGCAAGAGGCTAGGCCCAGGGTGCAGGATAACTAGGGTTGCAAGCCCTGTCTGAGTGATGCAGAGGTCCTTGTGCGAAAATTCTCACTGTCAAGAATTGAAGGTCTACAAAAGAGACACAGGAGTCCTGAAACTTTATTTGAATAAAGGGAGAGTCCATCAGGGCATACCCCTGTGGGGTCTCTCAAATTACAGGGGGGTACAAGCTCCTATTATCCTGCTTTGCCGACTAAGATCTACCCTTTTCTTTTCCCCATTGGCTAAGGTGCTCTGAAGTTACAGATTTCCCAACCTGCCTACCATATGTTGCTCCTTGATATATTCCCCCTCCCTGGTCATATATCGGATGTCTAATGAAAGTGATTTTATGCCTCCCTTGGGCTGAAAGGGAGCACATTCATTAGCACATTACACTTGCACCTACTCAACTAAGGTTCATTCTGTGGTCATCTGTTCATAAGGAACTCTCTGTCACCTTCCTGTTCTTCGCTGTGGTCAACAGCACCCAATCGTGTAAGCATAGCACAGACAGGGAGCTTGCACTCAGTTGTTCCACTTGCCAAAGCATGTGGAGTAACTTCCTTATTTGTAAAAACACAGGCTTTTTTGGTCCGTTCATCCCCAATGAAGATGCCTCTCACAGGCTCCACGGCTGTGGCATTGTTATTGTCCCAATGTCACCGAAATTGGAAATAAACCTCCTAATACCAATATAGTATTAGGAAGCAGGCATTCTCTTTATTATGGCACTACATGTACAAGGGATCACTCCTTCTATCATGCATACTGCATGTTGCATTTGTCAAATCGCCATTACATATGTATGCATTAAAATTTCTCAGAATGATCATAATCATTCTATTTCATAGATTTAACTACAACATGTCCCATACTCACATGCGTGTGCCCTTCATCTCTTCAGTGCTCCTTCAGAACCTTTTGTGGTTGTCTTTCAGTGTTCTTTTGATGAACTCTTCCAGTTTCCCTCCACATATGGGCTTGTTTTGGTGCAGGTCATGCTCTATTCAGCTCTCTTGTTCAGGTTTGACCAGTTTTGTTTAGTTCCTCAAAGACACATTTTTCCTTGCAATAGAATGTTTTCAATGAGCAGTGTTATTTGGAGCCAAGCCTTGGCCTTTGGGACTAGTAGTTGGAGTCTGAGAGAGAGAGAGAGAGAGAGAGAGAGAGAGAGAGCGCAAAGCCAAGCCACACTCTCCTGAAGCAGGAAGGAGAGGCACTATGCAGCTGCTCTTCCTGCTGCCATGGTGCCCTGTACTTCTTTTTTAACAAACCCTCTGGCCCTGTCTGTGTATCACAGGCCCTCTGTGAGGCCTAGACCCAAAAAGGCAAGTCCTGCTCTCAAAGGGCATCAGGAGTAACAGAGAAGAGGCATGTGCTGAAGCGCGTGCCCAGGCCACCCCAATGCCTGGTATGGGCATGCTTGGGAAGATGCTAGTCCTTTCCCAGCTACTGGAGCCCTAGCTGCTCTAGCTGAGTTGCTGACTGCTTGGGATGCAGCAGGGAGCTCAGCTACTGTCAGTGGGGCACGTGCAACACAATGAGGGCCAGCCCTTCTTGTGGCATGCTGCCAACAGCATCTGCAGAGCAGGAACCTGCCCAGCTATGAGGGCAGAGGGAAATTCTGTAGACGCAAGACCACAGTGGGGCTTCAGCTGAAGGAGACTGTCTTAGCCTCCAAGTTAGAGCTGCTGTGGCCTTAAAGGCCACAAAGGGCTGCTGGTGAGGCCTGGACCAGCCAGGCGCTGAGGCTGCAGACACCCCCAAGCAACCTACAACCACAACAGAAATGCAGTCACTGTGGGGCTGCTTCTGCCACCATGGTGCTCAACGCTGCCAGTCTGCACCTCCTCACCACCCTGGCAAGATGGCACATACTCTGAAGCCAGGCCAAGCTGCAGTCAGCACAGTCTGCTCTCCACCCCACTCCGATACTGAGAAGAACTGGCATGGTGCCCCACACCTGCCTACTGCATGTGCCAAATTACTAGATGCTGGAGGAAGACAGAGAGCACAGGTGTAAAGTCCCTTTTCAGGACAGGTGAGTTCTGCTGCTGTATGTATGTGCCACAGTGGTTGTTCTCCTGTACTCTCCTGGTTCCCCATCAATGGCCACTAATAGCTGCTTGAGCACCTCAGGGCCTCTGCAGCAGGATCTGCAAACAACAGCTACCTTCGCCAGGGCTCAGGCACTGGATACTGCTGGATAGCATCATCTGCCCTGATGGCCATCACAAGGAGAGCTGGTTGTGCACAGCTGTGCTGGCCTAACACCGGCATTTTCCTGTGAGAAAAGTCCCTGGCTGCCCTACTGAAGCTCCGCTCATGCCTTGAGTGGGCAGCATCTCTTACTATGCTTTTCCTCAGGACCAGAAGAAGCCTCTGTGGAATCTGATGGGTTCCCAGTTGCTCCTGACCACATGTTGTGCAACAATTGCTCACAGAAAGGAAAGAGGAATGGAGAGATGCCCAGGAAGACTGACTTGGAGTGAAGCAGCCACCGCAGTCCCCATGTTAACAATGGACCATAGAGGTCCCTGTCAATAAACTCGGTGCCTGGAGATTTCTGGGAGGGCAGTGCTGAGTACACTGACTTGTCAGGCTGCTCAGAAACTATCAAGGGCAACGTTTCTCAGTGTGTGTTTGAATGGCACACTCTGTGCTTAGGCTGAATTCCTAGTCAATATGTTTGTTGACATCTCTTTCTTTCCTGGAGCTCCATCAAGGGCCTTAAGTTCTAGTCTACCTTTTGAAAGCCCCATCCACTTGGCAGCTCTTCACACATCTACTCTTCTCATGCACTGGCTCAAGGAAGATTCCTCTTTTATATCTGTTCCTCTGAATGCTTAGATAAAGATGAGAGTGCCTCAGCTAGGGCAAGGCAGACTTTCTAATCAGGAAATTATTAGATTTTTGAGGCACTTGCTTTCTCATCCCTTGAGCCTAGAAATATGTCATTCAAAACAGAGCTAACACTAGTGAAACCTATAGCCTTCTGAGCTATCTGAAATACCACCCACCCTCATTATTTTGTTATCTCTTAATACAGGCAGGAGCATCATGATCTTTGGCTTGTGCTGCTTAGTCGATCTCATGCACCCTTGCATCTTTAGAATATTTTTTAATACTCTTTACTCACACAGTGAGAAAAACTGATTCTTTCCTTAAGCTGCTCTTTATTAAAAAAAAAAAAGTTGTCTGTAAAGATATAAAATCAACAAGCATGAAGTGCTTCTTGCTTCCCAGTGCTGTAGGACTCAGGAGTGACAGGTAAGTTTGGTGTTAATCTGTTGAGTACATTAGGTCCAGGGTTGCAGGCTTGTGAATTCTGAAAAAGTAAATCCAAATTATCTGGTATGTCCAAATTCATTTTGTTTGAACACATCTTCCTTCCTCCTGTTTTTGATAAAAAATAGTGATTTCTGCTGACAGCAGGGCTATAGCTGAAGGAACTAGCAGGCTTTTTCTGTATGCACCTAGGTGTCTTCTAATGGGAGAGTTTTCTAGTAACAGATGGAAAAGTGAGTAGCACGTGCTGCTCCTTTTTACAGTGCTGCCCAGGGTAATGCTCTAGCTACACTGCAGAAAGTTCCTTATCTCAGCTCTTTGGAGCTTATCTTATTACATATGGCATGGAAAAGCCATAGGAGTACAGATGCTCAGACTATTTACGTAACTTTGAATAACAAAGCAAGGCAATGGTTTGCAGTGCAGCTACTGCTGTTTGTAGAATGCAGAAAAGTTCACTTGCATCCTTCGCAATCATTATGGTAACTGAAGTCCAAAGGACATGTTTTGTGCATCTCCCATCTCTTCAAACCCTGAAGGACAACTGTCAGTTGCAGGGGTAAATGGAAGATGCCTGTTTGGTGTTGCTGCTTAACTGACCTTACTCAAAACTACTTCTATCAAGATTTGCAAATCCTGTGTAGACTCCCTGCATCTCCGCATTCTCTGCGTGGTCACCTTTGCCTGTTTTCTTGCCAACTTCCCTGCAAAATGCTACTGTTCCATTTTCCAGAAAGTAAGCTGCTGAGTGTACACAAACCTGATCTTACAGCGGCAACTTCATCCTCTTGTGGAATATTTGAACCATTACAATAGCAGGAGAGATACTGAGACTATAAGAGCACAAGGTGAAACAAAAACTGATCCTGAATGTCTTGACATTTGGCAGCAGATAAACAGAAAGGAAAGCTGCCACATTTAGTACCCACTGATTCCTGATTTCTTCTATGGTCATCCCTTTTCCCGTTTCTAGAAGAGGAACCATGGCTCACTGTAACAGACTCATACTACAGAAAGCATTCCTATGTCTCCTACCTACAATAGAAAGATGCTGTAGCTCCTAGCACACTTGAGCCAAGGAAGAGGGAAGAGTGTTATGCTATCTAAGAACCATAGTGCTTGCAAGCTGTTTTTTTGACAGCTTTGTGATAGTTGTGGCTTCCAGTCTTCTGAAAGAAAGAAAAAAAAAGACACCAAAAGACAACAACAACAACAACAAAAACTGCTGAAATATGATGCTCCTGCAACATTTCTTTAGCTTCAAGACAACTGAAAATATCTGCTGTACCTCTGTAGTTGGCCAACCTCCTCTTACATTTCTGGCAGCACAACCACCCCGTACTGTACAACCCAGCTTGAGAATATAAATGTAAGAGTTGAAGAAACTCAGAAAGGGCACCCCAAGAGCTCGGCTGTAGCCCTTTTGTTGTGAAATCTTGACTGTTTCTTGTGCAACAGGATCCGAACATCACACTTTCACAAGAGCACTCACAGCAGTCATAGCCTCTGTCCACTGAAGGACCTGAGTCCTTCCTTAACCAGTCCTTGCTGTGCGCTTTTTAACCTGGTTAGGCTTCAGGAGCAGTTTCTGCAGCCATATCATCTGCATTGACCAAAGTGTCCCTGTTTATCTCAGCGTGGAGTCGCTTGTAGTCAGTGTTGAAGAAGGTAACATAGAAGCAAGCCATGGCACTGCAGACCCCAGCCAGAAGTAGTGTTGGAACTGCAAGAAAGATAATTTTTCAGTGTGTGAACCTGTTACAATCCAGAGGTGTAGCAGTTTAGAAGTCAGCTCTCAAGAAGCTGCAAACTCAGTGAACTCCTCCCAAAGGTTGTCCCCAAGGTATGTGTACAGCTCCTTCTGGGGTAACAGTTGTTTTTTAAGAAGCAAACTTCCTCTCACAAAAAGCACATAGGATGAGGGCTTGAAAGACTTTTCAAAATATTTCCAGAATTCCCGATTCCAGCCCTGCTTGGTCACACAGAGTGGAGGTCTTAATCTGGTGCACATTGTGTGTGTGTGTGTGTGTGTGTGTGTGTGTGTGTGTGTGGTGCAGGTGCGTGAGTTGGGAGTGTGTTGGCGGGTGGGGTAATGAAAACTACAAGGAAGACTTATTGAAAACAACTGGGCATCATAAGAGAACAGGCCTATATCTGCAATATTCCTTGCTATGACATCTCCACAGAGAAAAGTATAGCCAAGGTCCCTGAAGGAAAATTTAAAATAAGAGAGGTTTGTGTCCTACAAACAGAAGAAAAACTAAAAGAAAATTTAAAAGAACATGGACAAAAAAATTAAAAAGCTGACAAATGGTTACAGCTTCCTGCCTTTCGCCACAGATCTAACTGTATCAGATCATAATTTAAGTAGTGACAGGTACCCAGTGATAAGATTCAGCTCTTGATAAGATTCTGATATTCTGCTCATGATAAGATTCTGACAAGATGAGCAGTTGCAGACTTTCAATGAAACAACCTTATTTTAAATTTTTTTTAGCGGGGAGAGAGGGGAGAGCTGCCACAGTTATTGTGAAGTTATTGATAATTACTAATAGAGCTGAATCTTGAGATCTTCTGTTCATCAGAAGAGGATTTTCAGAGAAAATGTTTGCCAATCTGTTGGCAAACACTGTAGTTTGTATTCAGGATTTGGTCTCGGTATTACATTAGTATGAGCCAGCTGAGAGATCAAGGTCAACCTATAGTGATAATACACTTTTGAGTCCTAGTTCATCTCAGTTGCTTTCTCTTCCCTTGACTAGCTTGGAAAGGAAGGGAAGTTTGAAATAAGTCAGCAAAACTTTACTTGAATGTGTATGTGCTTCAGCACGTGTTTGCAGAGCATGGTGATTCACTTTGAAGCAGTGCATGGGTCTTTGGCCTGCCACATGGCAAAGGGGCATAAGCTGTATTGTGTACATAGCACATTCCCCCACAACGGTTTCTCACTGAGTGAAGCTCAAATCTCTCGAGTGTGGTCAGAGGAGGAATTTTAACCAGGAACAGGTTACCATTCATGGCACCTAGGGGTCTTGCGTATCAGCCTTGTTTTAACCAACAGCAGCTGAAAGTGCACAATTGGGTTGGGAAACAGGTGTACAGCAGGAATCAGATGACTAAAGGATAGTGTACCTCCGGAACCTGCCCCTGCAGGTTCCCTGACTCTCAGTGACACATAGGAGGCCATTGAGGGGGAGTTGGGAGGCAGGGCGCATGGACTGCAACTGAGTGTCTCCTGTGGTTTGTCAGGGAGGTACTTACTGGTCCAGTCCAGTGCTCCATCGTGGCTGAGGTCACAGGCAGAGGATGAATCTTCAGAAACCCGCATGGTAAGGGCTTGCAGCAGAATCATTAAAATCACGCCTTGGACCTGGCTGTGGGGAGAAGCCACCATGCAGTTACTGCTCCTGCATCATCAGGAGGCTATCTCAGCATCAAGAGTCAGCAGGCTATCTCAGCAGGGAGGAAGTGAAGCCCATGTCTGGAGCAGGGTGCTTGTAGTGAGGCAAACTACTGCCAACTGTCTCTAACTCAGGCTTGCCTGTGACCAGGCCACTGTTTATCTCGAGCACAGGTGGACAGATGCTGAAGCACCATTCTCAGTAACGTAAGTCTTAGTCACTGGAGAAAGTTCTGAAATTTCTCTCACTGCAAGGGTGAGGATGGGAAAAGCCAGGCAATGACTTCAGCCTCTTTCTCAGCTGGCTACCAGACAACAATAAGCTCAGCCACGGATATGAGACAATAGGGAGCTGTTCAGTGCTCTCTTTGATAACCACTTTATGGCAGTTGTTGAACCCCTGGATCCACACATACATGGTGCTGTGGTGCATACAGATTTGTGAAGTGTTGTTCCTTCACTGCTCTGTCTGGTATGGACCAACTGCCCTGAGGGTGAGGAACCCCATCTTGCCAAAGGGAGCACTGAGGCCTGACAGGTCCATGTACTGCCATGGATATGGACACCACTCCCAGGTACACAACTCATGCTTGACTTGGACAAAGGTGATGCTGAGCAAGTATATCTTCCTGCTTAGTGCCAAAGGCGGCTGTTCTCATGCCCTTTTTGCACAAATCCACATATATTCTTCCTTACTTTAAGCTCTTTAGGATAAGGATGGATGTCCTTTTGTTTATGACAAAATCCACAACAGACAGCTCTCCCCTTACCATGTATACCAGACAGCACGGCTGGCACCAGCATTCATGCTCTGCTTTGTTTGTACCTGTGCTACCTAAGCTGAACTGTAGACAGGTTTACAACTTGCCTGCTTACCTTACAACAAAAATCAGGCCTGTAGATGTGCCCTCTCCCACTGGGTAGGAGCACTCCACAGCTAGCTCCATGGCAATAGGATAGATGGCAAAACCGAAGAACCCAAACAGCGAGCTGGCTACAGCCAAGGTTATAGCCTGGTGTCTGAATCGAGATGCCTGCAGGCAAAGAAATAGTACCAAAATCTCAGTATCAGCATTGCTACACAGGAAGTCTCTGCTTAAACCTGTATTTCACTATCATCTGTGGGAAGTCCCAAAGGTTTACTGTTCTCCACAGTACCTTCTTCATCTTTTTATTGAAAGATCTTCTTAAACCGAAGCCTTCTAGACATGCTACAGGAAATTTACCTGTTGAATTTAAGCAAGGTTAGAGAAGCAGAACTGTCTGAAAAACAGGATATGTTACTGTTACTTTGACTTGATTCCCTGTTCAGCAATTTACTAGGAATGCATTTATCTGATCATTCATCTGATCTCTGTCTCATATTCCTCCTGTTACAAGCTACTTTGTCTAAATTGTAGGTTACATGTTTTATACATATTTAGAGTAAGTTACATATAAAGAGGTCATCAGGTTGCTCTGGAAAGTATTCTTTATCATGTATCAATACTGTCAGACTCACTTCTGTGACACCAGAGTATTATTTAAAAAGCAAAATCAAATACACAAACAAAAAAGACACAAACCATAAGGTTGATGTCTTTTTCATTACTCTATTACATTCCCTATTCTCTATTACAGGTGTTTCTCCTGACATAGCTGCAGCAGACCTGTCCCAGCTACACTAGTTAACAGTGAAGAAGCAGCCAAACATATGGAAAACTTTATGTGTCTGGAAATCAAGTTCAAAGCATCAAGATACTAAGTGTTTCTGTTTTTGAACTGGTCCTTCACCTCTTCGACAGCAGAGGAAAGCTGAGGGGAGAGGAGGAGAGGGAATGGAACATCAGCTAACCTTCTTTTGAGTTGATTATCAGAATCACGGAATCATAGAATCCTTAAGGTTGGAAGGGACATTTAGAGATCATCTAGTCCAAGCCTCCTGCACACACAGGGTCATCAACAGCATGTGACACAGGATTGTGTCCAAGCAGGTTTGGAAGATCTCCAGAGAAAGAGACTCCACAACCTTTCTTGGCAATCTGTTCTAGTACTCTGTCACCCTCAAATAAGGGTGTAAGTAAGCCTTAAGTAAGTAAGTAAGAAGTAAGCCCAGAAATATTTGCAATGTCAGGGAGAACTCACCACTGCAAACACTATACTAGCAAGTGCACTCAGACAGAAACAGATCTTGGTGGACTCTATAAACCTCCTTGTTCGGTCGACATACAGTCCCAGTAGGAAGGCGCCCAGCAAACCACACATGGTGAATAGTGCACCATTCAGACCAGCAAATACCTGCAGGGTAGAAGAACAAGTGACTGAGCAACTAAATCTGGAGAGCAAGAGGCTTAACGTCACTGACCTAACTGTCTGCTTCTAGTAGGTCATTTAATGAGCCAGGGCAGATTCCTGTCCTCTGCAATACCAATGCCTTCACTGGGATCGGAGGAGCAATTTTCTTGACCTAGGATGACTGCTGCTTCAGAGGCATGTGGACAACAGAGTCACACAAATGCTAAGGTCTCAGTGAAAAATGAGCTTCTGCACATCTGGCCTGGGAGACTGAGTGTGGGGCAACAGCAGTTCCCTGGCATTGTGTGGTTCCTACAGCAGGATCAAATATCTGTTTCACACACAGATGCAACTCCTTTTGGAATCTTCTGTTTATAATGACACTGTATGCCCTTATCTTACCAGGAACTTAGCCTGTCTGACTGCTCACCAAAAGGCTGGTTGCCCCAAACATACAAAATGCCACTCAGCCATGCTGGGGCAGAGGAGTCTGAGCAGATAGGCAGTGGGTAGCAGCAAGGTTAGGACCCATATTCTGTTGGCTACTACTACTCTAGCAGAATAGTTTGTCTGGAATAGCTCCGGAGGACTCCACTGCAGGGCTGGGGCAGGCCACTCACACACCGATACAGAGTTTTTGACATGGAGTTGATTATCACATAGTTGAGGAACAGAACAGCCTGCCCTCTCCAGGTCTTGTCTGGGTGTTCTTCCCTCTGGGGAAGGGATCTAAGGGCTGTAGAGGCAGCAGTGCTCTGCCATGACTTAGAAAGACACAAATAATCTTCCCTCTACAGTGCCAATGGAGAGAGGCTTTTCATTTACAAATGTGGGCCAGGCCCAGGGCAGTAATGAAAATGCTGATCATCTGTTATAGTAAAAGTCCAACTGTGCTCTGAATTGTTGTGCTGCTTAACATATAGTAGACTTAACATGTAGTGGACTTTATCAGGAAATGAGAGATAGTGCAGCATATTCACTTGTCCTCATTTCGCTCAGACTCCCTAATTACGAAAAAGCATTTTGACTGTACTGTAGGCCATGTGGGAAATGGGGATGGAGGGACACACACTCACATTTGAATATCCTTTTTCGCAGAGGATCTGTTCCAGCAGAGCTGAAAAGCAGGTGAACACACCAATTCCTCCTCCAAAGCATACAGCCAGGATAAGGTATGACTTGTTTTTTAGGAGCTACAAAAAGAAGTTGACACGTCATTTAACACAAGTGGAGAGGTAAAAAAGGCCCATGTGAGATAGTGGTCTTGAACCACTATCAGTGTCTCTGATTCTTCAGTTATAAAGGTGAAGAGTGCTAGCCTTTGAACATTAGAGGAATTTGGCCTTCTGCTCTTAAGAGGGGTTTTAAGACCAGCCAAAGGACAAGCAGAACTGGTATATGTAAGGCAGAAGGGACTCCACAGTATCCTTAAATGTACTCTTCACTCTGCCATGTGCCTTGCTACCAGCATATGGTCTGTTTAGGTGGCTCAGGGATGCCATCCTCTCAGAGGTGCACAGGTTTATCTGTCTGAGCCAAATGAACAGCAGCCAGTCCACAGCTGAATAAGCCAAGTAGCATCTGCCCCACCTCTGCTGTGAGCAGATATTAACTCCCTGAGGAAGGAAGAGACCTTGACCTCATTTGAGAATTTTTCCTGGCATGGGGGGTTGGGGCTGGATTCAGAGTATGATTTGTTGGTAGTTTCTCCAGCACACCCATCACTGCAGTGATAGTTTCTGTCTGTGTTATTGCACTTACCATTTTGAGCCCTGTAAGGAATGGCTGGGAGGTGGAGTTAGTTGCACTGGCTGAAGGAGGTGTTGGAGGAGCATTGCTGTGAATCCCAACAGTTGCTAGAACACAAGCTGTTACTGCTGGGATTGCATAAACACCCAGCTGTACAGCAAAATGCAAAAACATATTATCAGTCTTTCCAGCTTCATTGTGTCTAAACATGTAAAGCAGCTGAATCCCAAAACCCAAGTATTGATTAAACCAGTTTTCATTTACCATCAGTGGAATGTGTTTTCCTTCTGGAACTACTGCAGGTGACAGCACATTTGCTATAAGAATACCCAAGGGATTGGCTGGAAGAGAAATAAAAAAAAGACAATGTTTCCATGTAAGCAGTCAGAATCATGTTACCCCTGCACTCAGCATCAGTGTTGTAGGGGGCAGCAGAGTGGCAGTAAATAAGGACAGAGCATGGTATATGCATGGAGAAACCAGGAAGGGAATACTTACAAAATTAAACTCTGAGGTCTTGCTCTTAGCACGTTTCCCCACTCCCATCGTGGCCATCAGAAAATCATTTTCCTATGGCCCCTAGCTCCCATAACAGCATACTGATCTTCATCTATGATTTATGTTCTCCCCACTTTCACAAGGATACCCCTGTAAACACTAAACTGAAGGGACAAAATGCAGATGGACCTATCCAAGGCATCTGCTCTTACTGCTTAGTGGAGTTACCAAGGCACTTGCTCTACACAACCTCACATTCCCATAGGAACCTGAAACTAGAAGAGATGGTATCCCAGCATTAAATACGATGCCTCTGAACACACTGAGATGCCCGCACGTATCATCTCCTTAGACTCTTAGAGGCGTTATGGTTGGAAAAGACCTTTGAGATCACTGGGTGCAACTGTAAGCCCCTCAACCCCGTATCTGTTCAACCATGTCCCTAGGTGCCTCGTCTACACGTTTCTTGCACACTGCCAGGGATGGTGACCCCACCCCATTTCCCTAGACAGCCTGTTAAAATGCTTGATTACTTTTCCATGTAGAATTCTTTTCTACTATCTAACCTGAACCTTGCCTGGTACAACTTGAGGCCACTGCCTCTTGTCGGGTTGGTAGTTATTTTGGAGAAGAGATTGACCCATCTCACTACATTCTCCTTTCAGGCAGTTGTTGAGAGTGATAAGGTCTCCCCTGAGCATCTGCTCCATACTAAATAACCCTGGCCTCATAAGGTCTGTGCTCTAGGCCCTTCACTGGAGTTGTTGCCCTTCTAGCCCTCTTCTCAATTTAATATTTCCTGCCTGTTTCTCCAACATAGCAGTTGCCTCATTCATTTCTGCAGTGGGTTCTAGAGTCACAGCCAGTCTACATTAAAACAAAAGCAGATTGGGGAGTCATTCACAGTAAACTGAAAACAGCATCACATAAACAACTCGCAGTTCAGGAGAAAGTCCACATACCTAGCCCACTCCAACCTTCCCTCACAATAGTGTGTTTGTTGAGACTCAAATCAGGACTGTTGAGAAAAAAAGGGGTAGGTGTCAATGAGAAATGCCTTCTTTCTGCCATATCCATATGACGATGTTTCGCATTTTCATCCTCACTGGTAACAAATACCCATTTCATTATATGCCCATTGTCGCTTGTCCTGTTACTGGATACCAGAGACAAGTCTGTGTCCAATTTCTCTAAGCTTTCCCATCAGATATTTATATGAATCAATAATATCGCCCCTGAATCTTCTCCAATTTCCTACCAGGTCTGCTAGCCTCTCCTCATATGGTGGATGTTGCAAACCCTTCATCATTTTAGCAGCTCTTCACTGGACTCACTTTAATTTGTCTGTGTACCTCTTCACTGGAGAGCCCAGAACTGAAAACAGTGCTCCAGATCTGGTCTTCAGCAGCACACTTGTTAATGCTGCCCATGATGACATTGGCTTTGTATGCCATGAAAAGTAAGAAAGCCCTGTAACATCCCTCAGAACTCACACTAGCTTATTTCTGATAGCCTGCAAGACAAAATAGGTACTCAGCAATGCCTAACCTGTGGGGCTGGAGCTACATACTATGTGGAAAACCATCCTCTGACTCTTCATGGGAATTTCCAGAACTGTAGGGAACAATTGTAGGGGTCAAACTTTAATGAGATGTTGTGCACACAGTCAACAGGAGCAAAGCTGTTTTTCTGGTAATACTTATGTCCTGTCCCTCCACTTTCTTTTCCACTACAAAACTCAAGGTCTCTCTAATTCTTCCCCGTATTTTCCAAATTGCTTCCCTATTGCCAGTTCCCTTTATATCCTCCAGTAAACAGCAGGCTCTGAGATACTGTGTGCTGCACCTGGCTTGGAGCAGCAGTGGGCCAGGCAGAGACAGTAGGTAGTAGGGATTCCATTACGGCTTTTCATGTGAGTCTGGCTTTAGTGGCAAGCTGCTAATTTACAGAAAATGCCTGAGAGCTCTTTGGTCCTGTTTGCAGAGAACGTGACTGTTACCAGACTGTCCCACTCTGCACACAATTTTTGGAAATCTTGGGAAGTTCTGAGCCCAGAAGCTATTTCAGTTAAGAGTTTTCAAGAATGCAGATGGGAGAGGTACCATGGTTACATGTCTACTGTTTCTTTTCCAGTTAAAGTGGTGTCTGACCTACCTACAAACATCAACCAACTCCACTGCCTACTAAAATGCTCTCTGCTCCTAAAGTAATGTAAACAAAGGATACAATTACAGTATTTTCCTAAATTGTTAAAGCATTTGCACCTGGTTAAAGTGCATAAGGGCATCTTAGGGGACTAGGATTTTGTTCTAGGATGTTAGAGGTATTTTCATGAAATACCTGTGTATGAAAGCTGCTTTGGAAGATGGGGGAGAAAAAAACAAATATTGGGCTAAATTTGAAAAGACAAAATCAGACTGTTTGATTTATTAGAGCATTTCAGCCTCATTCTGTTCTTGGGAAATGTAATGATAATGGGCCTAGGTTGACAATTAATGAAAAGGAGGTAAATGGAGTTAATCAACAGCAAGCTATGAGCCAAGGGGTCCTGGGGCTCATAGCCTGCTGTTTGTGCATGATGCTTACGCATTTAAATGCTGTAGAGTGCTGGAAGTGACATGCTGGCTGACAGACCATGGCAAGGCCAGAAACTAGAAGATGAGGCACTAACTGTGGCAGTGCACTCAAGACAAGTGTTTCCTTACTCATACAGTAGAATTTCTCATGTACTTTCCAGGCGCTAAGATCTTGGACTTGTGCTGTTCCTGTGTCAGTCTCTACTGCGATGCAATGATTGAAGAGATTATCAAAACTGAAGGACACAGCTAGGCCATAGTGATCTCAACTGCTTGGTAGGATGAGTAAAGACCTCTGTGCTAAGCAGCCCACAGACAAAAGCCAAACGCTAATGGGAGCTGTGAGGACACTGATAGGAGGCTGCAGGGGCAACTTTTGCATACTGCACAGAAACAGGCAGTCCTGTAACACTAGGTGTTGCTCTGGTGTCAGCTCAAGAGGTGGATGTCAATAAACTGGAGCAAGATGAGAGCAGCAGGCAGACATGGAGGTATGCAGGAAGAGATAAAGAGTAATGTGCCTGTGAAAGGCTTTTAGTCTTTCTAGACAATCAAAAGAGGGAGGAGGTGGCTCCATATGTAACTACCTGACAAACAGGTGCAACAAGTGTAAATGGCTGGAGGACAAGGAACATGCAGATGAGGTCCTGCATAGCAAACAGTCATGGGTACAAACATTATTAATTGAAACTCTCAGGCAGTTTGAGAGTTTCAAAGTACAAGCTTTTTACAATATACAAGTTTCTGCTGCTCCTTGGTTTCCAGTTTTATTCTCTTTTTCCCATTGTTAGTTAATCTGTTTATTCCTGCTAAAAGGCTGAAGGACCAAGATCACTAGATGGATCTGATGCTATTTGGCTGCTCTGTCTCATTTAAAAATCAAGAACAAGTTGTTTACAGACATGAAGCACATGTTCTTTCTGTCTCCACTCTATTTTTCCAGGCTCAGAAATCTTTAAGACAGTCTGCACTGGTGGTGAAACATTCCACTGCATGGTGACCCTCCCTGGCACCTTCTGAGATCTCTGATAGTATTCGTTCTGCAGCACGCTGATGACAGAGCTCCTTCTGCAGTGGTGAACGTAAAGGTTTACCACAGGTCTGGGAAAGCAGGTGAATAATCAGGTCTGCCCTACGGTGTAAAAAGAAATGATTCACCCTGTCATCATAAATCTGTTGTTTGCTCAATAACAACGCCTCTGCTGCAAGCTGTAGGCGTGCAGTGACACTGGGAAGTGCTGTGGGAATGCTGGCCTTTCCTCCCAGCCCATGCCTTCCCACACAGCTCCAAAGCTGTGTGCAAGGGAAGACAGCTTACAGTTTTTGCTGGGAACAGGTACAGATGCCCATATGATGCAGGTAACGTGACACCTGCCAGCTTCAGCCACTGGGCCAGTACAGTTCCAGAACACCTCCCAGATGCTTGGAGAAAGAAAGAAGAGACTTGTTCTGGCTGCTGAGGAAAAATGTCACACTAAGGGAGGAAACAGGTTTGATGACTGCAGTATTCTGTTTGAAGCAAAGCTCAACTGAGTCAAGAGTAAGTTCAGAGCAAGCATCTGCTGAATCCACTCCACAGTCTTCCAGCTTCCAGGCTGGATCCTCAATGCATGAGGATAACTTCCCTTCTTTGAATATGACCTCCTCTGTAGGGTCAAGAAGCTTAGCAGTCCCAGTAGAACCAGTCCTGTCCACAGAGAATAGCAGCAACAGGATGACAGGAGGAGCCCAGCTACTGCATACTCTTGTCTTTTTTTTTTTCCCCCTTCACTAACAAAATAGCCATACTCACACATGGTGAATCATGATACTTTCCTATGGAAAGGAGAATTCATCAGTGACTAAAATTAATCGTTAATGTTTCAAAATGCATAGTTAATGAATGTTTCAAACAGTATGGATAGGTAAGGAACAAGGGAGTATGCCAGACTGCATTGTACCAGCCCGTATTTTTTGGTCTGTAGAAGCATCTCAAATTATTCTGTGCACTCCAGGTGGGAGCCTGACAGTCCCATTCTTCTTCTTGAGTCCTTTCTCCACATTCAATCTAATGTATCTGTACGAGTCACACATTTTACTGAGGTTTTTGCCCAGGCTGTATTAGGTTACGTGATTAAAGGCTAATCACCATAATCACAAAGGCTCAGTGATGATCACATGAACAATGGTAGGTGGAGAAGCCCCCTAACCTTATCAGTGCAAACTGAACAGAGCAGAGAGTAGTTTAATCAGAGCACACTGACTTGGCTTCTACCAAAGGTATCAAGGCATAGTGATTAGCCTGTCTTTTCAGTGTGAAGCCCAGTGCAGGGAGACCAGAAGAGAAACTCTCTTGTAGAAAATAGAGGCCTTGCAAATTAATAGAGGCTATTGCCTGTAGGTGGTATAGGATTTACTATGACATGAAAGGGAAGCATTTGGGAATTTTAGGAACTTACAAGACTTATAACAAGATGCTTAACAGAAGGATAAAAGATGAAAAAAGGGAGAAACAAAGGTAGACTGGGTAGAAAGAAGGGAAAACAGGAAAGGAGATAAATGGGATTGGCAAATCAACTGTAAACAAGCTGCATACCATGCCATGCTTTTGATCTCTACAGTTTGTCCTGTATTATTAAATCGTATTTATAACTGTTTACTTGGGTGAGGAGCTCTCTGACCTTTATGTTCATGTGTGCATGCAGGTCTCAGTGCCAGCCAGTGGTGTTAAGGATGATGGGACACAATGCTCCACCATATTGTCTGTACTGCCAGCATCTGGAGACACTTGAGTGTATGTGTGAATGTTTGTTTTCTCGGGGATCTTGTAGCTTCTGCGTGTGCATATGCAGGAGGATAGTTCACTTCTAGCAGGACCAGCCACTTAGAAGGATAAGAGGTTTGTGAGCCAGCTACCAGAGAGATTTCAGGTCAGAGGGATAGATCCTTGAGAGACCAAGCCCCTGTTAGTCCCTTACAGGGGGGACCCTAGTCCTCGGCCAGCTACCGGAAGACTCATGTCAGTGTGCGACCAGGTGAGAGCTAACTGGAGAGACTGGTGATCCAGGGGACTTGTAGAGTAGGGGGTCTAAGTCCATTTATGAGGGGATCTATATTATACATGCATATATAAAGTCTACTAGCAGACTCCATCCCACTCAGCCTGATGTAAGGAAAAGGAATTGGCCATTCATATTGTTCTGGTGTTCTGTTTTCTGTCTGTTTTGATCCATGGGCCCAGTACATTGTGTATATATGTGCATGCACACTTGTGGGCCAAACATGCTCAGCCTCACCTCTGGCTGAAGATGGGGGGCACAGAGACACAGCACCCTCAATTCTGTTAGGTTACAGGATTTGGCAGCAGTGATGGAGGAGTGGACAGATTTTCCAAGTTAGCAACTGACTATGCCACTGGTATTGGCAACAGGGTTTTGGTTTCTATGATCACGGCACTCTGTTGGAACATCACCAGCTCATGGGGAGAAATCAACTGACGGAGATTCAGCTCACAAAGAGGGCAACATATGTCTTTGCCAACATATTGTTCAGGCTGGTAAGTGGGGCTTTAAACTAGGAAAGAGGGGGAAAGGGGAGACTCACAAAGACAATGCAGACGACAAAATGTGGCTCAAGTTGGAATGTGTTCAGGAGGCACATGCAGCTGGAGAAATGACTACAGAGGATCCTCTTGTACCATTCCAGGGGAACCTGCATGCTCAGTTACCTTCCTGAAATGCCTGTACAACAATGCATACTGTATGGGGAATAAAGAGGAGGAAATGAAGAAGTATGTGTGGTCACAAGGCCGTGATCTCACTGCAATAAAGAGACATGGTGGGATAGCTTGTGTAACTGGAATGCTGACATGCATGGTACATACCTTTTAGGAAAAACACCCCAAGGAAGTGAGAATGGAGTAGCTCTTTATGTGAGAAAGCTACTAGAGTGAATTAAGCTCTGCCTAGGGGTGGAAAGTTGAGAGTTTATGGATAAAGATTAAAGGGCAGACTCACATGGGTGACACATTTTGGAGTGTGTACTACACACCATCTGAGCATGAAGAAAAAGTCAATGAGGCCTTCTACAGACAGCTGGAAGCAGCCTCATGATGACAGGCCCCTTCTTGAGGAAGCTGAACAATGGCTGAATGGCATAGCTCAGAGGATCATAATCAGTGGCATACAGTCTAGCTGGGGACCTGTAGCTAGAAGTTTTCTCAAAAGGTCAATTCTAGGTTTGGAATTGTTCAACTTACTCATCAATGATACTGATGAAAGGACAGACTGCACCGTCAACAAGTTTGCTGATAATGCAATACATTATCAGCAAAAACTGAGAGGAGTGGCTGATATACCAGAGGTCTGCACTGCCATTCAAAGGGGCCTGGGCAAGCTGGAGAGATAGGCAGTGAGGAACCTCCTGAAGTTCAACAAAAGGAAGTACAGGGTCTTGCATTTCCTTTGGGAAGCAGGAATGGGAGGAATAGCCCCATGCACTAGGACAGGCTGGGAGCTGACCTGTTGCAGAGCAGCTATGTAGAGAAGGACCTGGGTGTCCTGGTAGACAAGTTGACCATGAGCCAGCAATGAGTCTTTGTGCCCAAAAAGGCCAGTGGTATCCTGCAGTGCCTTAAGAGGAGTGTTGCTGGCATGATTCTGTAACCATTAGCTTCACTTGCAATGTAGGCATCAGCCAACAAGCTGCAGAGCATAGGCCACTGGTGAGACTTCGGATTTAGTAACACTGTCCTCAGATTGTGTCATATTTGGGCAAAGATAATCACCTCGTCATGGCAGAAGGGAAAGGAGATGGTAGACTGGGTGGCCTACACTGAACTTTTCATTTGGATGTGGCCAAGTCCTTCTTTCTTGTTCCCCAACAGGATAATTCCTGCTTGGCTTGTAGAGCTGTAAAGGTGCTTATTGCACATGACTCAGAGTCTTGCATAGAGCTCTATCTGCAGGATGAGTTGGCAATGGCATAAAGTGTTTGTGTGCTGTTCCCTAAAGGAAACAGATGCTGAGAGGTTCTATGAGGCAGAGATATTACTTTACAGCTATAACTTACACATTGATGCAAACATGTTAGCTGTTGCTCTCTGGTTGTCTGGGAACCACAGTGCTGCCAGTTTTGTTGGTGAAAAGATGACAAGAGGCTGCGCCAGTGCACAGAGGCATTGTCCAACAAACAGGTACCAGTAACTCCGGGAGCCCAGACTCAGGAACTTCAGGACACTGAACATCCGGATGATGCTACCTGTCATATTCAGCCATGCACTCAGGGTTACCTGGAAAAAGCAGAAGGAGACAGAGGTTCTGTGCTGCAGCTTTCCCATGTACACATGTACATCCTGCCCCAACCCCGGTTAAGCAACATGTCGAGGACGGAGGAAGGGTAACAAGAACCTCCAAAAGGTTCCAAGACAACAGCAAGAGATGTTGAGTGAGGGGAAGCTTGACTTGGGCATCTGGTTTATCCTACCCTAATTCTTCCTTTGCCCTTCCTGAAATGCTTGTATGCCCTTGTTATCTTTCACCTTATATAGTCTTTTCAGGATTCCTATCTGATGTGCTTGGCTTTTACACAGGTGAAGTATACCCTGATCAGAGTATACTCTGATCAGATCTGATCTGATATCAGATCTACTGATTAGAGAGCAGAAGCTCTATTAATCACACTGTGAGTGAGCTTAGGGTTTGGCTAATCTCAACAAGTCATGGCCTCATGGAAAAAAAAAACCAAAGAAACAAAAAAGTAGATCATCTTATCATAAAACTCAACAGGTATTACAAAACACTGTGATAACTTTAAAAGTTCAGGGACAATTCTTAGGCAATTCCACCCAGATACAGCTTATTTGAAACAGCTGATACTGTCACGGAATCTTTAAGAAATTCTAAGTTCAAATGTTTTACACTATTCTTAAGTTTGCACCATCACCCATATCTTGCTGTGACTATCCAAAGACCATGGAAAAAGAGTCCTTTAGAGAACAGGTGCTGTTGCTCTTTTATCACACCAAAGGGCTATTTCAAGTTTTAAAAGATTCATAATAATACCATAGAAGGAAGCAAGACTTATTTTTACAATTGTTGGGCACGTATCTTAAAAGTTCAACAGAGGCAGAGAGGTCTTTGGTGCCCAGGGCAGCTGATCTATGGAGGTGAGAAATTTCAATTCTTTTGATTCACAGAAGTCATATGGGGAAAGGAATCCATAAAATCTTTCATGGAGTATTCAACTGCTTTGGAAATATTGAGCCATTACAAAGTATACATGAAGTGTTACTAAAAGCAGTATGAGTGTGCTACTTATTTGCTGTGACATGCCCTTCCAAAGGGCTCCCACACAGTAAGTCAGCTAAGAAATGAGGCAAGACAGTGGGATTCTCATTATGCATTGTCTTAAGGAAAGTTTTATGCTGCCTTGAGAAAACCATAATTATGTCTTTCAGTGTCCATTCTGCCTTTTCCCACTATTCCCCGCCTCAGAGGTGAGATTACAGCTATTGCCAAATCATAGCACAGCTTTCAAGACACTTGTCTTTGCAGTGTTCGTCAAGTTTCCCTCTCACATTATGCTGGTTACTGTTTTGTGCAGCTAATACTTGGGAGATGTCTGCATTGCTGTCTCTGGGTGAACAGATCTCAGGGGTAACAAATTAGTTCAACTCACAGACCATCTGAGCCCCACGCTGTCAAGGACCCATGTTGCCACCAGGCCAAACGGGATTGAGATGAGAAGGTACACGAGTGAGAGCCAGTTGACTGTCTCCAGAGAAATGTGGAAATAGGAAGCTGTCCTATCAGCCACAGGAGCAAACGTCAACCACAGCTGCGGAATAGAGAGCAAAGAGGGTAAGTTTGAACAGCTGCACCAAAATAGAAATTCAGCATTCCCTCAGACAGTTCAAATGCATTGTGAAGTGGCTCAAAATAGTAGCACTGATTTAGTCTCTTCTTGCAAATAGGTGTTAAAGCTGGTGATCAAAACTCAGACTCTTGCTATGTATCTGCTGTTGCTCATGATAATGCTATTTTATCTGTGATCTTATCCTTGCCTTGGACCTGAGCTCTCTATCCATTTCACAGCTGTAACTGCAATCTCCTCCTGCAAAGAGTTTGGTGAAGCAGAGATCACTGTCTTTATCTATACTCAATTTGTATGCAGAAGCCCCAGACTAGTTACCTGTTGCGCACCCCAACCAATTCTTCTATGCTAGCATGAACAACACAGAGGCCTCCATTTCCCATTTGCAGGTAGTAGTCCCTTAAACTCAGTTTGACATTTTTTGCTAAATCAGTAACCTCAGATGTGGTCCAACTTCATTGATCACCAAAGGGCTATACACATCAGAAGCAAATGACAGCCTTTCTCAACAGGAGGCCCCCATGCTGATGCAGCAACCCAGCAAGGAAGGACAGAGGCAAGATCTCCAGAGAAATCAGATACCTGCGGGGATGTCACTTTTAACCCTCTTTTAGATCTCCAGAAGACCAGGAGGACCCAGCAGCCAAGCACAGCTGCTGGGTGTCCATGCATAGCTCCAGGGACACTGCCAAAACAGACACAAATAGGTGAGAAGGGTGCACACTCTGACTTGGAGCATTCCAGTCTCCACCTCTGCAGGCTTCTCTTCGTCTCCCGGGTATAGTGAGTGATGGTGGGAGTGCTCCAGGCTGCATGTCAGCACCAAGGCCCAGGAACCGCCCAGCCCCCTGCCTCCCTCTTCCTCTCCTGCTTGCTCACACTGACAAGCATAGTCCAGAGCAGGAAACACTCTCATTTGCTCTCTAATGCATCTTTCTGTCCCCAGTGCTAAGGCAAGAAAAAGTTCCCTCTGTAACATGAAAAGTATCCACCGTTTGAACTTAGCCAGGAAGAGATAAAGAAGAAGAAGGTATCTGCCTCAGCAAATACTATCACTATGTCTGATCCAAACTAACAGAGAACACAGTTGTTTACAATGTCAGCACGTCTTGAACGCTCTTAAAGTCTGGGGCTTAGGCAAAAAACAACCATCCAACCAACCAAACCCAATATCACACAAAAAGAAATATACAAACCCAGCATCGATTTGATAAAACAAACCTCGAGAACAGCTATACCCACAGGGATTGCTGAAGAAACAGCTGGGGAGTGATCATCTAACTCGGCACATTTGGGGGCCGAGAAGCCTCCCAGCCAGGGGCTTCAGGCTGCAAGCAAAGTACCAGTGCATACTGGTACTTGCACATGGCCTTTTTTAGTGCATGAATTTCTTGCATGACATTAAAGCTAAGAATCTCTAGAAAAGCAGTGCCTAGAAAACAGCAGCCAATACCTGGCAAGCTAGTATGTGCTTTGTACAGAGGAGAGATACAGAGGCTTTTAAACTTACACCAGTAATGGACATTCAAGCAAGGAGCTATTTGTCTTTACTGTAAAAGCCGCTTTTGTTGTACCCTACCTATGTTGCTATGCTTACTGCTGTGCTTACTCCTTAATGAGAGGATTTCGAATGAGAAATGAAGCAGAAAGAAGTAGGGAAGAGTGCCCCTTTTACCACCACATGGCTGGCCTGGTTTGTTCAATATTTGCTCCAAAAGAAGTGGAGGAAACATTTTTTAGCCTGCTGAGTGTCCTTCCTTACAGCTAAGTTGCTCGCATCTTGGCTTCCTGACTTTGACAGTCCCTCTTCTTAATCTCAGGGCAAGGTAGTGCTGCTATCTACCACATTTCAGAAAACTGCATAGGTAAAATTGAGGAATACAAGCTGTTTTTTGACCAGGCAGCTTGGTCTACTGCATGAGGCTAAGCATGTTCCCTGTTTCTTGTATGTAAGACAACTCAAAAATCACATGTCTTCAGCAAGCGGAATTTTGCTTGTATCTTGACACACAACACAAAGTATTGCCAGTGACAACTGCACAGAGACCGAGGATACACTTGCAAAATACTTTTCATACCATAGAATTGATAAATCAGTCCTACCATCAAAAATTCTTAAGACTATGTATGCAACCTCTGCTGATTTCAGGTCCTTCCAAAAGTTTCCTCTCTTTTGATGTAATTTTCATCAGGAGGCCTTAGGAAAAGCACTGATGTCTGGACAGATTTGTGGATAATTCTGTATGCCAGCAGCTCTTGCAGTTCCAGACATTTGTGCTGGCCTTAGAAATGACCCAGATATTTCTCAAATATCCAGTTTTGAAATAGTGAAGATCTGGCATCAATTCTTATCATGTATCTCTAGCATTGTGAACAGAGTCAAGCAGTTAGACAGAGACCCTAACAGATAAAACTACAATCTTTCAAGGTTGCAAAGCTACCAGCAACATGATTCAGGCCATTTGTAGGTGTGTGCAAAGGTCCTTTTAAAACTACCATCCTGTTCTACTGCTAATTTTGAGTCAAGTCTAAGCTTGTCAAAACAGCCTGGAAAAGCACTATACAGCTTCCCGCACCTGTGCTATCACTATAGATTTCTCCAAAGGTGGATACAGATTTAAACTAACTGTGATGTATTTTTTCTTTTTAAACATATTGGTGTGCTCTGCTAGTCTAACTGCCAGTAAGCAAATCGAGTTTCACCTTGTGTTTGTTTGGATAACACAATCTTACAGGATACACAGATTTTACCACAACAGATGGCACATCATTTTTTTTTCTATTATCCATTTCAGTGTATTATCTATTTCTCTGTCCCAGTGTCCCAATATTCCTTGCATCGAATGTGTATTCCAGCTTTCCTTGGATCAAAGAATGTCTGCTCTTCTTTCACAGCATACAAATGCTTGCATTTTACCCTGCCCTGATGCTTGAACCTTACCGCGTTGCCTGCATTCACAACTCAATAATCCTCAAGCAACTATGTTGCTTTCGTACTATTTTATTTCAGCCTGACAACTACCAACACTGCCCCCAGTGATTTTTGATGAGCAAAGATTTGGGCTTCGGTGACGTTCGTTAAAGAGAAGCGCGATGTGCTCAACTCCTGAGCCTGTCTCCGCTCTTTCCCTGCGGCGGGCCCGAGCTGCTCCGGCTGCGGGGCGCGGCGCGGCCAAGCGGTGCACGCCCTGGCGGTATCCCGCTCTGCTCCCTTCCCTTCCGGGGTCAGCCGGGATGCCGCCGTCGCTGGCGCAGCGGGCGGGACGCAGCTGCGGGACGAGGCGGCCGAGCGCGCGCGGAGCCGCGGCCGGGCCTGCTCGCGCGGCGCCCGCAGAGCGCGGCTCTGCGCGCATCCCCGCACTCACCATGGCGTTGGAGCAGTTGAGCAGACACACGACGGCGAGCAGGAACCAGCGCCGCCGGTACGTGCGGAACGGGACCGAGCTGCGCTCCCCGAGCAAGCTGCTCGCCTCGCCTGCCTCCATGACGGCCCGCTGCGCCGCGCTGGGCCGGGCCCGCCCCGGGGCGGCTGCGCGCGAGCCGCCGCCTCCCGCCCGTCCCGCCCCGCTCCTCCCGGCTCGGCTCGTCCCGGCTCGGCTCGTCCCGGCTCGTCCCGGCGCGGCCGCCCCGTTGCGCGGCTCGGGCTCTCGCGCCGCCCCGCGGGGCAGGCAGCGGCGCTCAGCGCCAGGCCTGAGTTCGCGTTAGGCGCTGGGGCCGTCCTAGCAGCGGCAAGCTGCAAAACCGTGGGGTCCCGCTTCTTGCGGAGCAGCCGCATGGCTGGTGCGGCAGACTGGAGGGCATGGCGATCCGTGAGCCCGGCGTGTGCCCTTTGCTCACATGTTTATTTATACAGGCTGTGCTGCAACAGCAGCATCCTTACCTTGCGTGTGAGGATGCCGTACTAAGGTTGTTCACTTCCTCCTCTGACATTCTCCAAGAATTGTAGTGAAAATCCCTCTTCTCCTAAACAGAACCTGGAAAACTCGAGTTGGTTTGCTGTTGATTTGATATGACATTGAGACTGCCTGCATGTTGGCCGCTTGCCATCCTTGATTGCCCTTGCACACACATGCTGCTCCGTCCTGGGACAGCCGGATCTGGGGATCCCTCACTGAGCCCCTCTGATCCGTGCCCCTGCAACCTTCCTCACCGCTGTCTGCCGAGAGCAGAGCACTGTGGTTGTGAGGAAGGGCCCTGGCAGAGGGAATTGAATGGGAGGGTTATCCTGCATGGAAGTGTTCTCTTGTGAATGATTTTAGCTGGAATTTTCCATGCCACAATATAGTTCTTACAGGTGAAAGAAAGGAAAAAGGTAAGCAGCTTCAGCCTCCAAATGGAGCTTGATGCTGCTAATGAGAAGAGAGAGAAATCTGAACTTATTTATGTTTACATGCCAGTCAGCCTCCCCTCCATTCCTGGAAAAGTGATGGAGCAGCTCCTCCTGGCTGTTGTCTTTAAGCATGTGGAGGACAAGAAGATGCCCAGGGGTAGTCAGCATGGATTCACCAATATTGTATTGTGGATTGGTACCATTAGGTGTTCCCATTCTAATGACAAAGCTTTTCAAGCTTTCTTTTTTCCTTTTCCCTCCACCCCCCTGCCACTATTTATTTATTTTTTTCTTAAGTTTTTAAGCTTATTAGGATTCGGGACTCACCACTTTTTCACAATTCTGGCTCATTTTTACTTGCTGCTCTGGAGCACAGCCACACAAAAGAGCGGCAAGTCACCTTTTCTGATCCCTAACATAATGCTAGTGTCTCATTCCAAAGTCAAAGGTGTCCTCATCACACAGACAGCTGCTGCCATATCAAAGGCACAGTGCTAATTGAATGGAACAAAGAAGTCTGTGTCTTTACAAAGGTATGAAATACTCCACGTTCTTTGGCGAAGAGGACTAGGGAGTATAGGCAGGGAGGCAGTGCTATACATAGGTATAGAGAGAGACCACCTGGTCTGTTCATGAGAGAAGGCACGGGAATTCAGCTACCCCCTGCTCTGCCAAGCTTGTCTAAAGCTGAGAGTAAGGACAAACTGGGCATTTGGCACACTCGCCCCCTGCCCAGCTGGCCAAGGCCAATGTCAGTTCTTACCCTGCTCCACTCCAGCCAGAAGAGGTTGGGGTCATGGGAGGCACTCTGAGCATTGAATTAGACCAAGGAAAGATATAAACCTGGCAACATGAATTATGAGTACAAAGATAGAAACAGGCTTCTGTGAACAGTTTCGCAGAAATAGGGCTTCTGTGAACAGTTTCATAGGATTGTTATCCTTAGGTCAAGCAACCAGAATGGAAAATCCATCTGTTTAAAGACCATATATATTTTCCAGTGCTTTTTATTAGACTCAATGCTTCTTAGCTATAATTCAGGATCACAGAGTGGCTAAGAAAATTCATGGGGTATTGTTTAGCTCTTATTTTGATTTTGTTAGTCTGAGACTATATTTCATACAATACCTTTTGTATTCAGTGCTGAGCTTTGCACTGTTTACCCTCTTAGGCAAGAGCACTCCCCTCATTTTGATGTGTAATTAACAGGCCTGAATTATTTAATAGACACTCAAGTTGTTACCACAGGAAGTTCTCTTTACTTCACAGAATCACTGAGGTTTCTGCCAAAGGTTCTCTTGATCTTGTGGCTTTAAATTCACACCAGAAATAAATCATACAGAGAGTTATTTTTTATTCAGGCCTTTCACAGAACTGAGTGTAGCTGAAAATACATTTATGCAATTTAAGTGTTCTTAGTAGCACAAGCCTTTAAAAACATAATCATTGCAGATACTTTGGAATACTTTTAGGAGCAGTTAGCATCTACATAAATGATAACGTTTTTATCATTTTTATATCCTGTGGATTCAGAATAGAAAGATGGAAAGATCTATAAAAAATCATATAGTTTCCAAAAGTTATAAGTATAATCTTTTTTTTTCTAGCAGAAATCTGACTTTTGCAAATTTAGCTATCATTCTTGCCTTTATACTTCTCCAGAACATAATTTTATGATGTTGTATATGAACAAGGTAAGGATTTGCTCATAAAAGAGTATAGGATAAACTTTGTTGCACAGAGAACTTTGTAGAAATGTAGATGTCTGTAAATATAGTCCATGTGGACATTGTTGCTTGTAAAACAAATGAAAATTCTGAGAGCATCAGCTATTCAAGTTGACATTGCAATATGTTATGCTGATTGGATACTACTGAAAAGGAAGAACTACACAAATCAGTTATTAAAACATTACTATGCTAATGCTCCAAAAATCCATCTGTGCATTTCCACATGGAGCACACCATTAATTGCATTTTCAAATAAATTCTTTTGCTGGCTGAAAGTTTGCCAGTAAGACTATATCTTTTTGATGTAGGTTGGCATGCTCACCTCATAAAGGTGTTTGCTCATTTTTCACCTGTGCACTTAGAACAGTGGACAACATGGCTGAAAGAAAATAACCTATATTATTCTTATCTTTCTTATGTCATATATACCATGAATCATAGCAGAAGCTCCTGTTGCCTCCTGAAATACCGGGTTTCCACAGTGGAAGAGATTGCTCCTTGGTGAATATAAAACAATCTCTTATTTATTTTTTTTCCTCTGCAGTAAAACTCTTCAGTATGTTTAGTTACTGACCAGTCAACAGGATATAAGGCATTTTGTTCTCCAGGAACTGCTTGGAATTTGGCATTGACAAACAGAAAGATGCTCCCAGTGAGAAGGCTGAATCTTAAAATGGGAGGGGAAGAATGCATCTTCTCCTCCAGACATCTTCCTTTTTACTTGTTCACTGACTAGGACAAAAATGGTGGTTGTAATGAGGAATAGATATCATGTTTAGTTCAGAAGCCTGGACTCTATGCTTCGCCACAACCTGCTTTTAAGTTACTTACTCTCTATTCCTTGCAGACAGCTGCAGAGTGCTTATAATTGTGACACTGGAGTCATTTATTTAGATCCCAGTTATGATGTTAAGCTTCAAGCCTATGCTCTCTGTATTTTTAAGGAAGATAGGCAAGGTTTTCTGCTGTGAACCCTAGTATGTCCCTAGTATGTCAGTGGCAATCTGTATGTAACAGGGTAAAAGCGAAATAATGAGTCTTCTCCTGGCATTGCAGTAAGTATCTCTGGTAATCTTAAAAGAAATTTTAAAGCTATCTCTTTACAATTTACCTATACAGCCTTTCTTCTTTCCTTCTGTTTTCATAGAATCATAGAATCCTGAAGGTTGGAAGGGACCTTTACAGATCATCTAGTCCAACCCCCTGCACACGTAGGGTCACCTAGAGCATATGACACAGGACTGCATCCAAGCAGGTTTGGAAATCTTCAGAGAAGGAGATTCCACAACTTTTCTTGGCAACCTGTTACAGTGCTCTGTTACCCTCATTGTCAAGAAATTTTTGCTTAAGTTTCTGTTGAACTTTTCATGCTTCAGTTAGTGGCTGTTTCCTCTACTCCTGTCTGTGGCCACCACTGAAAATAGGCTGGCCCCTTCCTCCTCACTGCCTCCCTTGAGGTATTTATAGACACTGATCAGGTCCCCCCTCAGCCTCCTCTTATCCAGGCTGAACAGACCCAGCTCTCTCAGCCTTTGCTCATGGGGCCCCTGATCATCCTGGTAGCCCTGCGCTGGACTCTCTCCAGCAGCTCCACATCCCTCTTGTACTGGGGAGCCCAGAACTGGACACAGTCTCCAGATGTGGCCTCACCAGGGCTGAGTAGAGGGGGATGATCACCTCCCTCGACCTGCTGGAGATGCTCTTCTTAATGCACCCCAGGATCCCGTTGGCCTTCTTGACCACCAGGGCACACTGCTGCCTCGTGGTCAACCTGTCGTCCACCATGATGCACAGGTCCCTCTCTGCAGAGCTGCTCTCCTGCAGGTTATTTCCCATCCTGTATTGGTGTCTGAGGTTATTCCTCCCCAAGTGCTGGAGCCTACACTTGCCCTAGTTGAACTTCATGAGGTTTTTCACCGCCCAGTTGTCCAGTCTGCCCAGGTCTCTGTGAATGGTGGTGCAGCCCTCTGAGGTATCAGCTACTGGATATTGGGAGGTATCCTCCCAGTTTGGTATCATCAGCAAACTTGCTGAGGGAGCACTCCATCCCCTCATCCAGGTCGCTAATGAATAAGTTGAACAGGACCGGACTGAGGACCGACCCCTGGGGGACACTGCTGACTACGGCCTCCAACTGGACTCTGCGCCACTGGCTACCACTCCCTGTGCCCTGCCATTGAGCCAATTCCTAATCCACCTCCCCATCCACTCATCTATCCCACACTTCAAACCTTGCTCAGCAAAATGTTGTGAGAGGTGGTGTCAAAAGCTTTGCTCAATCCAGATAGATGACATCCACCACTCTCCCCTCCCCACTGTCTACTGTTATATAACAGTAAACAAATGCTGAGTGAAGATACCATTATGATGAATCCCACTGAAGTGTGAAGGTGAATAAAAGTGCACTGTGCACTGCCCCTTGATG